CTGCCTGCTCCTCTGAAGTAGTAGTACTCTGCTCCCTTCCAGATGAAGTAGTCCTCTGCTGCTCCACTGAAGTAGTAGTCTGCTCCCTTCCAGATGAAGTAGTCCTCTGCTGCTCCTCTGAAGTAGTAGTACTCTGCTTCCCCTCAGATGAAGTAGTCCCCTGCTGCTCCTCTGAAGTAGTCCTCTGTTTCCTTCCAGATGAAGTAGTCCTCTGCTGCTCCTCTGAAGTAGTAGTACTCTGCTCCCTTCCGGATGAAGTAGTCCTCTGCTGCTCCTCTGAAGTAGTAGTACTCTGCTTCCCCTCAGATGAAGTAGTCCCCTGCTGCTCCTCTGAAGTAGTACTCTGCTTCCTTCCAGATGAAGTAGTCCTCTGCTGCTCCTCTGAAGTAGTCCCCTGCTTCCCTCTAGATGAAGTAGTCCTCTGCTTCCCTCTAGATGAAGTAGTCCTCTGCTGCTCCTCTGAAGTAGTACTCTGCTCTCTTCCAGATGAAGTAGTCCTCTGCTGCTCCTCTGAAGTAGTACTCTGCTCTCTTCCAGATGAAGTAGTCCTCTGCTGCTCCTCTGAAGTAGTACTCTGCTTCCCCTCAGATGAAGTAGTCCTCTGCTTCCCCTCAGATGAAGTAGTCCTCTGCTGCTCCTCTGAAGTAGTCCCCTGCTTCCCTCTAGATGAAGTAGTCCTCTGCTTCCCTCTAGATGAAGTAGTCCTCTGCTGCTCCTCTGAAGTAGTACTCTGCTCTCTTCCAGATGAAGTAGTCCTCTGCTGCTCCTCTGAAGTAGTACTCTGCTCTCTTCCAGATGAAGTAGTCCTCTGCTGCTCCTCTGAAGTAGTACTCTGCTTCCCCTCAGATGAAGTAGTCCTCTGCTTCCCCTCAGATGAAGTAGTCCTCTGCTGCTCCTCTGAAGTAGTCCTCTGCTTCCCCTCAGATGAAGTAGTCCTCTGCTGCTCCTCCGAAGTAGTCCTCTGCTTCCTCATTGCTCGTGTTGTAACTGCTAATGCTTCCCCTTCCAGATGATCTTCACTGATATCCTCCTTCAGTTGACGTAGTAACTCTAACTGCTCTTCTCTATTAAGACGTTTCACCATATGCTTGTGAAGTGGAATGTCCTGTCCTAGTAGTACATCTTCTGCTAGGTGCTCCACGACTGCTGCTTCCACAAGATACTCCTCTTTGTCGGATGTAATCCTCACATCAGCCAAAGGG